GACGTGTGCCTCACTCTCCTGGATCGAACTATTGAGACTGACTTGAGATCCAAAGTCCCCTTGCTCCTCTTCATCCTCTTCCTCCTGGGACTCCCCATCGTTTCCTGCTCCTCCTCCCATGCTGAATGGAAAGATGTTTCCGAAGGTGTTCTTCATTCTTTCTGAGAACGATGATGAGGTTGTTTGTCTTCCAGTTCCGCTTGCCATCATAGTGTTGTCTGTCTGAGATCTTCTAGTTGCCGTTACTTCAGTTGAGATGTCGGACAGTTCCGACATCTCCTCTCGATCCAACGTCCCGGTGGAAGTGGAAAAATCATGGCCTTGTTCTACCGGAGTAGATTCACTCGCCAGCCTTCTGCCTCTCCCTTCCAGTCCATTTACTCCCTGGTTGTCGTTCATGGTATGGTCCGTATTGACCTCCACTTCTAACAGTTCTCTTCGCTCTTCTGAGGTCTTTTGACTTCTCGTTTCAACCATTCTGCCTGAAACCGTCCCCTCTTTATCGGACCGGGTTCGCTTGATCCAATCCACAAAAGGATCGGTCATCGTTTTTCTTTGCTTTTCAGGTATGAATTTCCTAGAGCTATTACCTCGTTTTGGTATCCTTGACTTGTCTAAACTCATTCTTTATTTGTCACTTTCCTATGCCTACTCTTGACTCAATTGCTAGAGACCTTATAGTTTTATTAACAATAATAATGACACAACACAATAAATTTCACCAGATTCTATTAAATAGTGACCACGAATCCCTGTATGTTGTCAGAGTACAGTTTATATAAAATTTATTCACACTAGCCGATTATCGGTCCAAAGATCTGGAAACTAGCACAATATGATGTTATCAGTCAATTTAAAAGATAGTGTAGTCACTACCCAATCAAGCACAGTTTAGGTTGATTTAAAATCAAAAACAAAAAATATATATTGACACAATATGAATGTATATATAAAAAAACGTATGTATCTTGTACTCTTAGTTGGTCGCAGTACAATAGTCGAACCTGTCTTTTAAAGAAAAAGCTTTCCCTGCTTGGTGCTGCACCAAACAGACAAAACTTTGAAGGCAGTTATTCGCTCAAGTGGGCGTCTATTGCACCCACCGAGTATTGTGTTACCTATCTGCCTTCGGACTGCCCGAGCTAGACCTACTAAAATCCTCAGGGCAGTCACTTTTCCCAAAAACGTATTATGTTTCAATCCACACCAATGAGTCACGCTCTTTTTAATTTAGACTTAGTGTCGCGAATATCCGAGTTCGGACCTGTTTTGTATTAGTCTTGTTCTTTTTGAAAGGCAAGTTACCAGTGCAGTCACTGATACCTAGCTTGTGTATTAATCACCTAATAACTCTCGCTTTTTAGTCTTTCTTTCGTTTACCTAAGTCCTTAATAAAATAATACCCCTCCGGATTGGCACGAATAGGACCCTTCCGGACTGTCAGAATATAGACCCCTCCGGATTGGGACCCCTCCGAGTTAGTTAATAGTAGACCCCTCCGGATTTGGACCCCTCCGAATTAGCAACTATAAGACCCCTCCGGATTCGGACCCCTCTGATTTTGAAAAATTTCGACCCCTCCGGATTGGGAGCCCTTAGCTCTGTCAAAGTAGCTTTTCGTAGTTTTCTTAATTTCAGCTTATACCCCTCCGGATACGTTCTGCGTTGCTTTTATGCTGTTTGAATTAACTGGGAAGGGTATGGGGTCCTTTCCTAGACCCTCTGGATTAAAGTTAAGGCACTTATTTGACAATTCACACTAACGGTGAAGGGTCTTATCACTTGCTTAATTTCGACTCTATTATGGTTGTCTTGTGCCTTCAGCCCTCCCTTTTTGTCTAGAACTGTCCTAAGTTACTTAGTTCAATCGCTATCAACTTTTGGTAGGGGTTTAAGGGTTTTTCAGAAAAAATTATAAAACGTGAAGGGTGTACCCCTCCGGATTTGTGTAATTTGCTAAAAACAATCTCAAAAAATTTTCTCGCTCGCTTTTTCGAGTAATTCTCTTTCCTACTAGTAAGTTCAGCTAATTTCTGATCTAATGGTACCAAGATCAACTCAATATGCTCAGTAGTTCCAAAGTTATTAACTAAAACGTCTTTCTTCCAAACTCAAAAATTTTCTCTCTTATAGGTTCCGCCTAACTTTTTCCGCAAATCTGGTCCTTTCGACCTAAAAATTATTGATCTGAGCTCAGAAGGCCTATACTCTTCTAGTTCAATGCAAAAGACCCGATCTAAAACGCTTTTGTAGAAAAATTTTGCGAAAAACTATGCTACCTGGACCCCTCCGGATTGATGAATCCACCAAATCAAACACGTTATGTTCGATTTCTCTGCAACCCGGAAAGCTTTCGGGTAGCGGGTTTTAAAACTCGTAGATTCACCAGTGGACGTTGTCCGATCAACTGTTTTTACTGTCCTAACTCAAAGATTTCAAAAAATTTTCTGATTTTATAGTGTTTCTTACTATCAAAAAATGGGAAAATTTGATTTTTTGTACCAAACTAGTTCCAACCACTTCCGAACTAAAGTTAACCGGTTCTACTTATTACAGTAGTGCAGTTACGATGTAACACACTAACTTAGCGCTTTTTTCCGTTTCAAAAAATACCGATATCTCAAAAATCGCGACTTGTGGGGGGATCAAAATATCGCTATTTTGACCCTAAAAACCGGTCTGTTTTCGTTGTTTTCCACTGAAAAACGATATATGACTATTAATATAGGCTATATGAATAATAATATTAGCAATACTATACCCCTCCGGGTCTGTTTATTATCCGAATTAAGGTGCTTAACTCGGATATTCGCAGTTCGGTGAAGGGTCACTACAGTGCAGCACTGTCGAGCCCCCCACAGATTACTATCTTACTTTTTGTACCAAAAGGGATACAAAACTTGTTAACGATACCCAACAGTCGATTGTTGTTGCCGTTGAGCCCCTTCTTGTTGCTCCTTGAACTGCTTGCCGGATCGGTCTTCACCCAAGACCCTTCCGAATTGAGCGCAAATCAGCTGACCCTTCCGGATTGAGCGCAATTTAACATTAACGTGCTTAAATGCTCAAATAACCCTACAGTACAAGCCTCACAAACGGGCCTCAAAATTGATCGTAACGATCCTGACTGATATAAATGCCTGTAACAACAATATATCTATCAACAACAAACGGGGGGGTTGAATCACATCTTGTCTGGGGGGATGATTTCTACTGATTTTCTACTTTTTTACTGTTTTTGGTTTTTTCGGTAATTTTTTATGTTTTTTGTTTTTCTTGGGTACTATACTACTTTTTGTTTGGTTTTACTTATATCTTTAAATGTTTTTGGTCACAAACCACTCAGGGGACGAGGGGTTCGCGATTCCCCCCACCCTTCCTGGTTCATGAATTTTCGGTCTTAACTAGGTTAAAAAACTATTCACGGCAATCCGGAAGGCTTCCGCGTTCCGAACTACCCTTCCGCCCCGGCAGTTTAGGCCTATTAAGAGCATTAATGTGAGCATCCGCTCGGCGCGGAGTGCTCGTTAACGGTTCCGCCGGTCATGATGTTACGAAAGAATAACACCCAGGAGCGCCATAAAAACATACATGTAACATTCGCCCGGAAGATACATATCGACGGATAACAAAACTAAGTCTTAAGACGACTGGCCAGCGTCTAAACAGAGCTTTGCATGTTTTTCACCGTCTCTACCAAGCCAGTACTTTTCGGTGGTCTTTCTTACATCGGGTCGACAAAAACGATACTGTTCTCCGGCTTCGACCAGAACGCTCAAATTAACTGAATTACATGCAAAAATAGTGAGCTCATGGCTGGGTCTCTGTATCCCCAGACCACGAGGTCACTCCTAAAAACAGGGCTACTACTTATTATATTACTATTGTTTTTGTTCAGTAGATAAAAATCATCATCTCCATCGAAGATGGATCAACCCTTTCCCCCAACTCCTAGCACCTCATCCTTGTCAAAACTAATCAAAATATCAGTTAAATTCAAGTCAGGACATGACAGGATGCTAAAAGTTTATGTGAGTTAATAAAAGTTTCCGTCCCGAGACCCTTCCGGATTCTTGAATCCGCCGAATCAAGCTCCTTACTCTTGATTTCTTGCTAATCCGGAAGGCTGGTTCTCACCCTTCACCGTTGTTGGCAACGGCCTTGCAACTATTGTAGCAGCACAATAGTTGCAACTCGGAACGTTCTCTGCTATTCTGTAGTTCGTTGTCGTTTTCCAATCTCGATTTTCGTACTGTTCGCAATCGCAGATAAAAGTTGTTCTGTTCTTCACTCGCTTTTTGTTAAAAATGGCCGTTTCAGCATTTCTCAGAAATGTGACGTCATCATTCGAATTTTTGAAAATTTAAAATACTAGAATATTCTAGCCCTCACCGTTTGGCTAAACGTTCCAATAACGTCGCTAATCCTTCGAAATCATCAACTCGGAAGGCTTACTGCTCAAAATTCGAATCCTGCATAAATTGCATTTTGGCCATTCTGGTCGAATGTCACACTGGCGTACTCGGAACAATAAATGACAAAATAACTTTCGACGAAATTTTTATTTGTAACACTTGTTTATTTATATTTTCTCGTGTCGAGTTGCGTATTCTTATTGAAGAAACGTAACCCGTATCGATTTTAATTGAAAAGGACTTAAACACTTGTCATCTTCTTTTATCATTTTGACTTCCATATCTAGAAAGTTCCAAGGATTTTGACTGGAATACGTGATGAAGGGACTCCTGACTGTAACCTCGGTTACTATGATACTTTGACCTTCTGATTACCGGAGAAATGCAAGTGAAGAATTTGAGTGTAGCGTCGTCTTAAACCGTCCCAAAAGCTGTGGTCGTCTTAACAGCTGTAGCTTTATTTGCCGGAAACATCTTAAAGTATTGGATTCTTCCATCCGATGCGAACTGCCTTGTGTAGAAATCTTAAAACTACGTCAAGATCAAAGGACATCAATATGTTTTTTTTTATTCATTGTTTTCAGTAGACTAATGAATGATTCTGATGCTAATACTACCACAGCATGTGCAATCAATGATGTTGTTGAAGAAATAATTAATAGTTTTAAGGCTCTGAAGCCGCCTTTTATCTGTCCGATAGATAATTGTTCTAAGCCATGTCTGGGGTTGATGAGTCTAAAGCATCACTTATTGAAAATTCACAGGGAACGGCTTTCACAAGAGAAGCAAAGCGATGACGACGCACAGGTTTCAGACGAAGGGCAGGAGAAGAATGCTGCTGCTGCTGCAACATCCGCAAAGATAATTTTCAAGAAAAGGCATGTAGCGACCATTTTGCTAATGCAAACTTTGAACTTCAAACAACAGAATTTTCATTGTAACATAGAAATTTTGCTGTTTAGAAAAAAGAAAAGAGGGAAGCTGCGTTTTGTAAATGGCCGTAAAAGCAACTCAAATGCGTTGAACAAGTCGCAGAATGTGACGGAAGACGAGTGGGAAGAGGTGCATGCAAATGGGGGGCAACATAATTCACTATCGCCAGCTTCAGCTGCTCATTATAACATGACATACGAAGAGTCGCTGCGAGTTGCCATGTTCCACGTAGACAATAGGGCATACCGAGTAAGTTAGTTATAAGAAAACTGGGGCGTTCTCTATAAGAGATGTTGACAAAAAGTTTTAATAACAAGTGGCATGTTGCTTGCTGTGCAAATAGCACAGAATCGATGCACCAAAGCAAACAAGAATAGCCGGTTGTCTAAAAAAAACTAAAAAAAATGTGATTTTTTAAGGAAAAGTCTAAAATTTGTTCAGGCTTAAAAATTCAGTAAAAACACCAAGAATGAGAATAATAACCAGAACGTAACGTTGAAGTTTACTAGATTTAAACTTGCTCGAAATTAGACTAAGAAACAAAATTTTCAAGTTGGCTTTTCTCGGCATGACAAATGTTGACTCTGCGCTGAAAGTTTGTCTGAAAGACGTGAACATAAAGACCCGTTTTTCTGGACAAAAAGCTTTTTTGAAGCCGAAGCACGTTCAAAGGGCTTGAATATGATACCTCACTTGAGCCACGTGCGACTATTTTTTGAGGTACCTAAGAGCATTTTGTTTATCTTGCAAATCAACTTATCGAATTTCTTTTTTGCATATGAAATCTTGAAGGAAGTCAGTGATCTTACACTTGAATTAGCAATGATCTTACAGAAGGAAATGTGAATCGTGCAAATCAGATGAATTTTCGAGCGATCTCCTCTTAAACTTGGCGATTTTGATTCTTAAAATTAACCATAAACGAGGCGTAAATTTTATTTCATAACTAATTGTTTCACGAATAGTTAACTTACCTAGAAGATGCTTTAGGTTGATATTGATGAACCACTAAAGTTGAGTTTTGTCGACAAGCCGAAACCGTCAGCGGAGGCAGAGCAGCCTCTCAACGTAACTCTTTCAACTGAAAATGCATCGGCAACAAAAAGTAAAAACAGTGGTAAAAACTCGAAATCCAAAAAATCGGGTGCAAAAACTGGGTTGGCGAAGAAAGACATGAAGAAATTACCCGAAGCAGAAGTGAAGTGGTTTGACAATCCAGCGCAAATATTTTCAAAGCCGCACGTAGTTCCAAAAGAGTACAGAAAGTAAGTATCAATGAGCGAATTCAAACGAAAATGGTATATTTGAAATTATAACACAAGCAGCTTTTTTTCGAATCGAAGTGGCAAATAAAATTGTTCATTAAGAGTGCTCACTTATTCGGTGGAACTTTTGCTTCAATCACGATCTGCATCGTCGGAAATTTCATAGCATCTGTTCTGTGCCGTATTGGTGACTAATGTTTGCTGTTAGCCAAGCATTTAGCACAACTTGTTTCAAGAGTAATGAACGTAGTGAAAACTCTTATATAGGTCTTGTTGATTTTTTTTGTTTATTTTTTTTTCAGGAAAGTCTTAGTTTGTTCACGCTTAACTTTGATTTTTTGCAGTTTGACTTGTGATTTAAAAAAAAAAATCAGTGCGTTTCCATTGTTAAAAGAAGTGCAAATTCCACTATCGAACAGCAAAAGTGTAAAGGTCACGAAAAACGTGATCGACTTCTAATTTCAAAAATGGAAATTAATTATCAGATTTCCCAGCGAAATGAATGTTTTACCTATTGATCCAATTTTCTCAAATTGGGTTAATTTTAACCTGAAAGTGTCCATCATAAATTGTTCAGCAAATTCGAAGAGTTTTAAGGCCATCTATTTTTTTTGAAATTCAAAAGCTTAAGATTTTCGAAAAAAAAAAGTTTTTTTTTTCAGTTTCCTTGTGTTCATTACTCTTTCCCAACTTTCAGTTGGCTATGTTTTATTTTTGGCGATATTTTTGCTTCATAACATTGGTAATTTATTAGCATCTATTGCTGCATCATTGCTAGCTAGTGTTAGGAAATTTTCATTGGCCCATGGCGCAGATTGGAGAACGTGAGATTTCAAGTCTGTAGGTCGCTGGTTCGAATACGTCACTTAGCAGAAGTTTTCTTTATTATAGGTTTTTTTCTACTTTTTCTTATTTTTTTTATAGCTGCTTTTGTTTTCTAGCTTGTGTTTGCGAAGTGCAGCTCCACCACTTCTGTGTTTGTTTTGTTTCAAATAGCAGTTTTCAAAGAGTTTGCAAATGTTATTTTCACTTGCGAGGAGAAGTTTCCTTGTTATCGGCAACTTTATTTGGTAAACAGCTTTTCTTCAAATCTAACAGAAATACGCACAATTATTTTCTCGTGCAGGTTGACTTGCTCAATTTCTTGAAATGTAAATGAAAGTTATTTTAAGTTAATTTAAGGTGGCTATTTATAAATTTTTCAGATATTTTTTTTTCGGTTTTCTGGTTTTCATCCTTGTTTCCGTCGGCCAATTCGTTTATTTTTAAATGCAATTCTTTTCATCTAATTGTTTTTTATAAGTAGGTTACTTACCAAAACATATTCGATTTGATTTAAACTGCTTTTGATGTAAATGAAAGCTGTTCTGTAACTTGTAAGTTGACTAACTCTGACGTTGAATATATTTTTTCGATGAATGCTTCCGGCTTGATTTATATCGGCTCAGTGTCGACTTAGTATTTTGAAATTAATTTCTTACAACAATTTTGTTATAGGCTCAACAAGGGTCGACCCAATTTTTGTCCTTTTAGTTATCCTTTTAAAGGGATCGTACCACATGAAAAAATTTGATCACATTTTTTGAAATATCAACGAGCGTATTGAAGGCAATTAATGAGGTAGTTTGTATTTTCAGGTAGTCTTGAAAGTTGTTAAAATCAAGTTCATCTGCTAAATGGAGGGAGGGTTACATAGAGGGGGAATGAAAAAACGTTTAAATCACTTTAAGTTTGATCAGCTTTTCCAAGTTGGGTTTTCTTTATCACAAAAGATGTCGAAAATTTATCAAAAAAGATTGTTCAATTTTAGATGTACAAGGATATGAATTGTTTAGGTTTTTTGAGAACGCTGAATGTTAAATTTTTTTCTGCGGTTAATTTGGTTTTCAGCCTAAATGTTTTCGACTTTTTGTCCTCAATTTATGCTTTTAATTGGCGTTAGTTTTTGCACAGCATGAGTACGGGGTTAAATATGGCAACAGTTCAATTCAAAAAAGTGGCGAAATTTTCTGACTTAGTTTTTCATTTCTGCAAGAGCTTATGACCTTATTTTCAGTGTAAAACAGATATGACAGTTGTCGATTTTTTCTTAAATTATAAAAGAGCGAAATGATTTTCACTTCAGTAGTTCGTGGCGATTTTTTGTTTGGAAAATCTCAGGAACGTTTGTTCAGGCTAAATGAAATTTGTTCCTCTGTTAAATGAAGGCAAACTCCACCACTATCGAACAGCGAAAGTGAAAATGCAACGAAAACCGTGAATGATTGCTAGTTTCAAAAACGAACTTTAATTTTCTGAATTTCCAGCGGAATAAAGTTTACATTTTGTTCTAGTTTTCTCTAGATGGGATGAACTTGAGAAAAAAGTGCTTTCATAAACAGTATTTGAAATTCAAAGCGCTGAAACTTGATATATTTTTGTCTTCGCAATTCAAAATTGTTTTGGTTTTCTTGTTTTTTTTTACACTTTACCAAATGTCTGCTTGCTAAGTTTTATGTGTTTTGCCTTCCAATGCCACTCCAGTTATTGGACTGAAAAATTTCTGATGTGGTGACCGCATCGTTAAGTGAAATCAAGGAACTATAGAAGTTTTTTCAAAGCTAAGTGTTTTCTCCTTTTTTTTCTTCTCGCAAAGCAAGAGACTGGTAGTTGGTAACTTTTATACCGCAAACAATTTTTCTTACAAATCCGTAAGAAATTGACCTGGCTATATTATATAGTTTTTAATATCTTCCTATTTGGTCAAGTGGTAAAGTGTGTGCTATAAGAGCCGAAGGTCTGGGGTTCGAGTCTCGGCTGGACCTGGTTTCTGATCCGACCATTGAAAATGGGAAGGAACTTTGTGTTAGAGTGCTTTATTTTTTTCCGTTTTACACGCAATTGCTGGTCTCAGAAATAATCATCAGACTGGGTTAAATTTGCTTATTTAGGCTTAATTTGAGCCTTGAAAACTTAATTTTTTTAAAAAAAATTTCGAAAATACTATATAATTTTTTAGTTTTCCAGAAATTTTTCCGCAAAGTTGTTGTCCAATTGTTCTCTTTTACTATGACTATTCAATATGCTTAACTTCTAGTTTTTCTTGATATTTTCATCACACCATGCAAAAAAAACGATGAGTTTTTTTGTGTTTTTCTAAGACCATGGTCGGAAAATTCTGAGCTACTTGCAAAGTAACCGGCTATCCCTGTTTAATATCGGACTATCGTTTGTTGTCGGACTATCGTTTGTATGATTATTTTTTTGGGGACGTATTATTTTTGCTTTGAAAATTTCTTGGCTACAATGGTTTCGGCTTCTCACGTGCTAATATCTGCCTAGTTATGCGCTCATGCTTTTTCAACGCTGTGCATCTGTTTCTAGGTTTTTGTCCCTGAATTATGCTTCATTGGAGACATGCGTTTGTATATGTTGTTTTTTTGCCAATTGTTTGAATAGTTTACTGATTCCGTCTCAGTTTCTATCTGCTAGCTTACAATATTTTTGAGAGACATTTTTGAGATATATCTATTTGTTTAGTTAGTGCTGATGTTTTTGCTTGAGATTTACTAGGTATTTTCCAGAGCAGAAAGGTTCCAGCTCAATAGTCCATTGCTTTTTGTTTTTAAAAAAACTTGCGAAATGCAATATTGATTTATTTCGTCGCCTGATGCAGAAGAAAAATCTGCGAAATAAAAATCTGAAAATCATAAAGAAGATCATCAAAACAAATTATTCAATAAGTTTTTTTTTGTTTGCCTGAAATTTTATTTCGGAAGTTTGTGATGGCGTGGTTGCTCCTGCTCGCCTGATTTTGTCTGAAAAGTTTTCAGCGTCATTTATTTGGATATTTAAAAAGTCCTAAACACAATGTGTGATAAAGGTAACTGAGTAAGGTTTTTGCCAAAACTTAAGAGGGAAAGACATTGGTCTTGTTTATTTGGAAGAAAAAGATTATTTATCCAAGTTCATACTAAATTGTAGCCTATTTTTGTTAGTGAAAATGTATTTTTAGTTTATCGAAAAGAGCAAGGATGAGCAACTAGACCAACGGATATGCAGTATACTTAACATATGGATTGGGGTTTCGTTTTTTAGTTAGATTGTCGTTAATCATCCAGGAAGTGATCATGCTACAAGGAAGGCTAGTTAGGAATGATCGAAAATACAAATTTACCCATTATGCGCTAAAGTCTAAATATTTATTTTCAATTAACTAAGTAGCTAGCTCGCTCTTGGAAAGATCCCTGGCCTGCTTGGAAATTTAAACCTTGGGTCCTGTTTTCAGTTGCGAGAGGAAGTGAATTTAAAAACAAAAAATTTTAAAGCAGCAAAAAGCAGCCGAATTTCAATGATATGTGAAATTGCTTAAGAAAACTTTTGCTGCTTTAAAAATTCTCAGCTTTTGACAGTTAGCCGATGAACCCTAGAGATCCAAACAATAGTCCGACTACTCACTGGGCTGATTTGTAGAACTTGTTGCTTAAATGTTTTGGTATATGCTATATTGGTTTTGTTCCAGCATTTAAACCTTTAAAAATGCAATAAAATGTATAATTTAGTGTGTTTCAATGAATGGATAGTTAAACTTAGAATTTCGAAATTTACAGCTTCATTTTTTATGATATCACTTTGCTTTGGGCTCAACTGACGTTTGCCCAAGTACTTTCGGCGTAGTTGCCACTCGGTAAATGATTTTGAATGCTTGTCTAACGGTGGCTGTGTATTCCTTGACCTATTCTTTTCAATATGAAAATCATCTGAGACAAATTTATGAAGATTTTTTAAAGTTTTTTTCCAAATTTCAAAAACAGTTCTTCGAATTAGATGCTTCGACCGATTTAAGTCTGCTTATTTACAAGGTTATCGAAGTCCTGTTAAGCTCCGCTTCGCGTCTGTGTAAAAAATTGTTATTCGCTAATATGAGTTTTTGATTTTGTACAAAATCGGATAGTTTGCTGGACATTAAAGAACAGGAATCTGGTAATAATCTTGTGTTTCTGGATCTATTATACAGCCTTATCAATTGGTGAACGAATCGACCTATGCGTCTGTGTTTCAAAGATTTAAAAGCGGATTTTTGATATCTTTTATCTATGTTAAAGGGGCTTACTCGATTACTCGAAGAAGGATGAGAAAATTAAAAGTTTGCAAACATCAGAAAAATTAAATTTTTTATCATAAGTTCAAAAATGGATAACTTAAGTTGCAACTAGTTGGAAAAATAGCCGGTTACTTTCTGTGGGTGGCGACTTTGGTGGAAAAATTTGACGGTTCAGAGCCTTCTATTTATAGAGATATGACGATTTTGGTGATTTTTCAGATACAAAAGAAAACTGTTTACAACCAGCGGGATCTAGAGTTAAAACATTGCTGTTAGCGCTGTGTTTAGCGCTGTTTAAACGCAATATATGTTTTTATTAGAAAAATTTCAATGTACTTGTGAAACTAGGATTTGTTTTTCTGATTATTTTTCTTGTTTCCTTTGTTTACAGTTGCGATCAGCTTAGTTTGTTAATACGAACCTTCTTTTTTCTAACCTAACTCGCAAATAAAAGCGATCATTAAAAGTGTTAACTCATGTTGAAGTTTCACTGTAGCATCGGAACTTCCATAGCATCTGTTCTCTACATTATTTGCGACAGAGTAGTTAATGGTACCTATTCAGCTTCCCTGGCTTAGTTGTTAGTGTGTGAGGCTCTTAATCTCTAGGTCGCACGTTTGAATCTTAGAGGTAGACGAATTTTTGCTAATTCAAGAATAATTTCTAATTTTTGTTATTGCACTTTATAGAGCGGCTTTAGTCGTGTTCTCACAAGTGTTTACGAAGCGAAGCTTCGCCTCTGTGTTCCTGATGCTGTCTGCCATTGATGTGCTATTCAAGGGCAGCTATTAGTAGACTTCCATGGTCTCGTTAGCTGCCCTTCCGATGAATACTTTTTTGATGAAATTACTGGATTATTATTTATTCAGTAAAAAAACTACTGTATTATTAAGAGTAATGAACGTAGTGAGTACTCTTATATAGGTCTTGGTGATTTTTTGTCACGCTCAGTTTTGATTTTTCGCGGTTTGACTTGTAATTTGAGTTCAGTTCAATTTCTTTAGTAAAAGGAAGGGAGTCTGCGCTATCGAACATGTGAAAAGTGTAAAGGTCACGAAAAACGTGATCGACTTCTAGTTTCGAAAGTGGAAATTTTTTATCAGATTTATTAGCGGACTTAAAAATTGCCTATTGATCCTGTTTTCTCAAGTTTTGTTAATTTTGTCAAACAAACACCAATCATAATTTGTTTTCTCAAATTGGGTTAATTTTATCAAACAAACGCCAATAATAAATTGTTCAGTCAGTTTTTCATGTCAACTTTTCTCTGTTTTCTTGAGTTCATTACTCTTTTTTAACTGCAGCTGGCTATGTTTTTAATCATTACGCTTGCGATAAGCAAGCGTTATCAAATTGGAATATAGAATTTTTTTCGGGTCAAAAACTAGTTGAACAAAATCTGTTCAGTCTGTAAGCTCAGAACAGTAATAGAACAGAATGGCTGTCAAAAGAGTTGTTGAGCATATCTGCGTTTTAAATGGCCGTTCCATTCGAATTTTATCGTTGAATTTAAATCACCTGAATTTTTTTGCGTAATGTTTTTTCGGCCTAAATGGTTTTGGTTGATGCATATCTGTTTAGTTGCCTGATAATTTGTCGTTTGAAGCGCCAAACTTTTTAAATTGATTTTTTCGCTTCCTGAAGTGTAGGTGTGGGCCTGAAACTTACGATTTTTTTGCTCAAAATATTTTATAGCTCCATTTTGGATTTTTTTTCGGCTCAACATTCGTCTACCCAAGTTTTGTCTGCTCAGTATCCGCTTAATGAAATTAATTTGGTAATGCCTGTTTAACTCTAGCAGTTGTGTTTCTTTGTATTTTTCTTAAATTTACCCGCATTCCAGACAAACGTTTAAAAAATCAATTTTTCCATTTTTCTTAAACATTTTTTTTTACTCAGCTTGCGACCTTTTTTGGGCGAGCTGTTGTGCCCTTTTTTGTTGTATCGCAAGTACTGCGAAGCTCCGCGGCGCCTCTGTATAATAAAAATCCAATAGTTTTAACTGAATTTAAACGTTTTTTTTTTAAATCGTCAGGTTTGAGGAGAAGACGGCTGAGGAGCTGGACAAGGAAGTCGAATATGTCATGGATGACTTAGATTACGCATGGCTCAAAATATACAACAGAGAGTACAGGGTCCCCAAGTGGCTTCCTGAAGTATCCCAAAAAGACTTCGAGCTCCTCATGGACCGACTGGAGAAGGATTCGACCTATGACCCGAGTGTTCTGGGTCCGAGTGCCGGGTCCAAAGTGTCAGGAGTGGATGACCAGGAAGACGATGCTGTCTGTTCTATCTGCCAGGACGGGGAGGCGAATAACACGAATGTAATTCTATTCTGCGATATGTGCAATCTACCAGTTCACCAGGTAAGAAACAAAACATATCTTAATCAGCTTGACTAATTTTGGTCATCCTCAAAATGAAATTTTCAAAAAATCTTTTAAAAAATGTCGTGAAATCTTTGTTAAAAGGTTTCTTCACGTCAGAAGTTAGTATTTAGCAGATTTTTAACTAAATTAAATGAGTGAATTCTTACAAGAAGCTATTTAAAAAAAAAGCGGTAGAGCATGCCAAAACGATGTTTTTATTTAGGAGTGCTATGGTGTGCCGTATATTCCCGAAGGCCAATGGGTTTGTCGGAAATGTCTCCTCTCACCCGCCCAGCCAGTATCGTGTCAACTCTGTCCTATTAAAACGGGCGCCTTCAAACAGGCCTCAAAAAACAAATGGTGTCACGTCTCATGTGCAATATGGATCCCGGAAGTCCAGTTCGCAAATGCTGTTTTTCTGGAACCAATTGAAAATTTAGAAAACATTCCAGCTGCTAGATTTAAACTATGCTGCTATATATGCAAGAAAAGAAACGCCGGAGCGTGCGTGCAATGTAGTAAAACAAATTGTTTCACAGCGTTCCACATAGCATGCGGACAATCGGCGGGTCTGCATATTAAATTAGAACCAATCAACAGTTCGGAGCATAGTCCGACGCTGTTTAACGTGAAGAAGGTGGCATATTGCGACCAACATACTCCTGAAGACAGTGATAGGAAACCATTGATCAATTCGTCGGCGCCTGAAGATGCGAAGAAATTAAAACAAATTTTTGCCCAGAATAAATCCCAGTCAGCGTCGCAAGTGCAAGGTATGTTGAGTCCATACTGTGTAACACTTGTTCCATCTCCAACATGTGTATTCATTGAGTTGAGAGGTAGACAAAAAATTAAGCGAAGTCCTTATTATTCTTTCGCATTTATGGCGAACTGAAATGATGGGTGTTTGTCTGTTTTGTAGTGGCTCTTCCGGAAATCACTCCCGAGAAGTACGAGCAGATAGTGCAGCGGGTCAACTTTCCTCACAAAGTGCAATTTCTCACGAGACTGACCAGCTATTGGCTGTTGCGGAGACAGGCGTTGAATGGAGTGCCACTCATTAAGAGACTTCATATGACTCATCTGCAGAAACAACAGCAGAGTGCTCAGATAGCACTGGAGAAGTGCGAAAATGATAATGTGAGTCAAGTTTTTTTTCATGCAGTTTCCAGCTGTTTACTTTTTGATTTTTCACATTTTAGCTTTAATTTTTTTTTATTATATCGTTTACTATTTTTTTTTACCTTAAAGTGTTGTAATAGTAATTGTTCCCGACTACGCACTTTGGGTGGAAGGAAGTGTGGCAATGTACCGTCAAGCATTTTAGAGTGTCAAAAATAACGGTTTGTTCCAGTTTCGGTGTAAAAGTTATCTATCGATCCAGCTTTCTTTAATTGGGCTAGTTTTATTACACCAGCAAAGATTGTTGTGTGATAGTATGAACTCTTTTTTTCCAACCTAAGTCGCAAATATTGTTGCGACAAAATTTTGATCAATGACCAGCTATTATATTACAAATATCACTTCAGCTTCAATTTATCATGGATCTGTAGCGTAGAGGTAGTAGGGAAGGAGACCCACAACAAAATAAGAGGGCTTGAAACTAGGAAGGGTCAGTTGTTTTTAATGAACTTTTTCGTATGCTAGTTAAAATGCGCCCGCTATATAAATTGAGGCATGTTAGTTGGTAAGTTTTTTTTCAAACTGTCTGGTACTGCTAATCCATCATAATTGGCTTGCGTCACTTAGCAATTATGCAGACTCATAATTGGCGTGCGTCACTTAAGAAATTTTGTAGACTCAAAGTTTTACTCAGTCAGTTTTTCCCAGTAGTGTTATCGGTTATGTTTTTGCTTGTGTATGCGAAGTACAACTCCGTGTGAAAAAATGTTAATCATAAAATATTCTTGACGCTTGCAATTAGCAAGCGTTATGAAATCGGAATACAGACTTTTTTTCGGTTCAACAATTCGTTTGATGACTTGGTATATAAAACCAAATAAGTTTCTTAACTTCTCCAGTCAACTTGGTCTTAAGCCTGTGACGGCAAAAGACCTAGGCTCGAATCTTTTTTAAACGGGAAAAATTGTTTGTAAGTAATTTTAAGCCTATTTTTTGTTGAACGATAACTTTTTTTAGCTAAAGGTTCAGTTTTTCATTTTTAGGAGGCTTTAAGTTTTATCAGATCAGAAGTTACCATTTAAATTTTTGTATTGTTTTTTGCTCGTAATATTCAGAAATTTTTGATTTCATAGTAACAAATTTAGTTGAGTTTCGCTATGATTTGTTTCTATCACACATAATGATTTCCTCTCGCTCTGTATTATGTTTTTTTTCAATTCAAGTAATTTAAGATTTTTTTGAATAGCTCCTCTTCTCCCTTTATTATGGTTTTCATGCACTCGGGAGATATAGAAAGAGTTAATTCTTTAAATGTTTTTTTTTCGGTCCAATTTTTGTTGACGGGTTAAAGAAAGTCGGGGATACTCTGGTAGAGGATCTTGGAAAGCATTAATCTATACTTGAATAAGAAAATAGCTATTTTGTTAATAAATGTCGGTGCAGTACGGGAGCTGCTGATCTGAAATATTGATCCATTATTTTCGAACTTATTTGCACGATACTTCATTTTGGTTATTGCATGAAAGAGCAGAAAATTTTTTACGGTATTTGTATCGTGACTCCATTTTACTGATTTTTATGATAAATATTGGATCGATATTTCAGATCGGCGCCTCGGGTAGCAACGGTGACAACGCACGAGAGATAGGCAGCACTTCTTCTGAGGAAAACTCAGCAAACAAATCCTCTAATTTAACACTTTCGCTGCTCACTGTTTCACATAACGAAGAGCAGTTCAATTCTGACGGCGGAAACGAAGATGCCCTTAAAGGATCCATTGAAGTTTTTACTGAAGAAAGGGTTCCAAAGAAACCGTATGATACTCACGACTCTCTTTTGCTCCCACCAAGCATTGATAGGTCAAACTCGAAACTCACTGACTCTGGAAACACAAATGGAGACGAAATATCACTTTCATTGCCAGTTAAGATGGAAGATTCGGATTCTGACAATGAGTCGAAGCCTCTCAAAAACTACCTGGATAGTGTGCCTTGCTCATCTTCGAGCTCTGGTAACAATGAAATGGAAAGTGACCACTCACTGTTGGGCGGAAAAGAGCAAAATGATAATCAGAAGAGTATTTTTGAGTTCGAAGAAGACGACTACATAGAATGGCAGCAACTGAAATCAAGTCATTCAGCAGTTTACGGGTTACTCGGAGACCCGATTGATAGAATTGAAGGTTTCAGTGACAGTCTAGACTTAACTTTGGTTGACCAGATGAGCGATCGAATGTCTTTTGAGGAGCTGGAAAATTTAAAAAGCAACAACAGTGACTTGACGGGAGCTCTGAACTTAGTGATGCAAGATGTAAGGCGTCTCGGGATCAGTGAACCAAATGAGAAAGCAGAGAAGATCATTTCGCCGAAACCGAAATCCCGGAAGAAAAAAGTCCCGAAATCGAATGAAACAGTACCGACTTCTCCGAGTGATATTACAACGCAAATAACAAGCAGTGAATCTATTTCGAACTCCGAAGGTCGGCTTAATAGCCTAGAGAATAGTTCAAAAGAATCCGATATATGCTCAACTAATGGATTGAGCGATGAAGCTGAAATAATTCCGCTAACTGCTCTGGCTGAAAAATCTGAAGATTCGAACGATTACCCGACAATAAGGCCTACAATTTGTCAACCTGGTCGATTAGTTGTTGACATGGATGATGATTACCGATCATGTGGCTCTGTTATCATTGATCATGACAATTCTACACCTGGTCCAATTTTCGGTGAAAATGGTCCCTTTAAAAATCTAGAGCAACGCCTCCATAGTCCTGAACAACATACGAGCTATTCTCCTGTGCATATGGAATTCGAAACTGAACTTTCAGAAACTGAAACTTTGAAAAAAGACGATGAAATTGATAGTCAGATTGAAATTAATGACGTCACGTCGAAATCGAAACCTCGAATACGGAAGAAAGTGCAGGATCCTAGTAAGTGTGCGAATTTCTTGAATAAGTCTTACGACCAGAGTCTCACGAGCGATTTTGTGGTTTTGGTGTCTGACTTTGATCTGGGAAGCATTGAGAGTTGTTGTCAGGAATTGGTAAAACTGAGAAAAGTTGCCGCTCTGAGACAAGCTAAACTGTATCACAGCATAGCTCAGGGTAAAGTCTTAACCAATTTGAAAAAGTTCACAGAAAATGATAAACATTTGGACAACATTCTGAAAAGTAGAGATATTCAATTAGAAAGTACTCAAAGAAACAACTACTCAAAACTATACAGATTTTATCTAAAGTATAATGAAATTTGTAACTATAACACATCCTCTAGTTATGTTATTAAGAACTACCCGATGGTCAAGCGGGTTTTCGAAGAAGGTCTTGTGATCACCTGAAAAAACTCTTTTTCGAGCATTATTTAATGTAATCTGGAGATAACTTTTTTATGCCACTGTAAATAGGGGTTTCCACAAGATAGGTGCTAAATTATTCATAACACATGCCAAGAAGGAAGTATTAACTTTCAAAATTCAAATAGTTTTAAGACTGCGATATTCGTATTTCGTTGAGTTTTTTGCTCCACAAGTGCTGGCATAAATTGCAAAATTTTATAAACTTGTGTCTTTGTTTAAATTTTTTAAATTTTATATTGCGTGCATCTATGACTGATGGTATTATTTGTAAATTAGTCGAATAGAATGGTTAAAAATTGATTATATATCTAGCGCATCAAATGTTTTAGATTTGGACAATTGTTTTATACTGGCTTTAAGACCATTAAAGACAAAATCGGAAATTTTTTATTTCTATTTTGCCTTTTTCCTTTCAAGTCCACTTAAATTATTTATTTGTGAATTCTTAAATATCTTTTATTGTATCTGTTTTGTATAATTTATGCTCAAATATTGTGCAATTTTATAATAGCGAAGAACAATAATTTATTGTTTTGATTAAAAAAAGTTTCTCATGAAATAAGCTCTCAAGACTTATAATTATGATTTGATTGCTCAAATGAATTATTTGGAAATCTAAAGCAATAAAATCAAGGTACGAATGAGGTGTTTAATTGTTAACTTGATTAGTCTTCATAATATTCCGATCTCGAAACAACACTAAACTAAGCAAGAAAAAAATTTCGACAAATTTATGAAACCCATCATGAAGACATAAAAAAGTAAAACAATAATATCCGGATCTGTGAAAAAAAAACCAAGAAAAGTTTGACAATAATTTTGCTTCCAGTCTTAAATGCCTCTAATAAAAAGCGAAAGAAAATAAAAAAAACTACAAATATTTTTTTTACACTTGCGATTAGCAAAGGTGTTAGAAACGCGTACTTGTTTTTTTAACTCAGTTTTTACGAGTCAACGAACTTACTGAAGACTGTTCCATAATGTGATGTTTTTAGAGAAGTCTTAAAACTTGTTCACACTTCAGTTTAATTTTTTTGCGGTTCGAGCTTTGATTTATTTTTCAGTTCAGTTCATTTACTTTGTTAAAAGTATGGCAAACTGAACCAAAGAACAGAAAGAGTAAATAAAAAACTTGTTCGGCTGCTAGTTTAAAAATAGACTTTATTTTTAAGATTTCCCGGCGGAATGAAAAACTTAACCTATTAATCCAGTTTTCTCAAACTGGGTTATTTTATCCAAAAAGCGCCAATCATAAATTATTCTCAAAAATCAGAGAGCATTAAGGGCATATATATTTTTTATGAAATTAGGAAATTGAAATTTTTCAAAAAAAAACGAGGCAGAGTTTGTTTTTGTAATCTTGAGTTCGTTTGCTCTTTTACAACTCTCTTTTAGCTATGTTTCAATTAACAACTTTATTCAAGCAGTGTATCATGTTACTTTATTCAGTCAATGAACGAAGTGAAGACTCTTAAGTCTTGGTGATTTTTTTACACTAGGGAGCTTCGAGTGTTGTGTCTTAGTGCGAACCTTCTTTTTTTCTAACGTAACTCGCAAAAAAAATTGTTCATTACAATTTTCATTTATTTGGCACTGCTGCTATAATCACGATCTATAGCATTGGAAATTCCATAGCATCTATTCTCTGCTTTATTTGC